GTCCATCAAAGAAGCAAAAGTTGAAAAGGAATGCTGTTCCCACATTATTGTGTGCTAATTCTATATTACAAGCTGATTTGGAATTATATAAGTGTCAACATTTTCCACATGTAACTGTTTGTTGTATGGTAAATTTGATTGGAAAGTTTATGTATTAGTTTTTTGATGTAGTTTTATGTCTTTGTGTTGATAGGTAAAGGAGCAACTTGAAATACCCACTACTTCTAAGAGCCTTAATTTTGAAGGTACTGATAATCTGGAAGAGAGACTTGATCCTAAAACTACTGATACAGAGGAGTTATCTATTGTTGGTCATGATAACAATTACACAAAGGAATGTGGTTATAAAGTTGTTTGTCCTGAAGTAAGTATTAGTCATTGTAATTGTAAAAGTATGGTTTGTAATAGGAGATCAATGGGCATGTTGTTTTTTGTTGCAGATTTCAGTTGAGATTTGTGGAGAGGAAAGGATGGATATTTTAGTTGAAAGTGTAGCTGGTGCAAGTGACGGGCAACCAGAAATACCTACTACTTCAAGGAGCTTGAATTTTAAGGGGAGACTCGAGCCTGAAAGTACCGATTCAAGGGAGTTTTCCACGTCATTAATTGTTGGTCATGATCACAACTATGCTACACGATCTGCTTATGAAGTAGTTGCTTCTGAGACAAGTGATGGGCAACTGGAAATACCTGCTACTTCAAAGAGCTTGAAGCCTGAAAGTACTGAATCAAGGGAGTTTTCCACCTCATTAATTGTTGGTCACGATCATAATTATGCTACACAATGTGCCTATGATGTTGTCGCTCCTGAGGTAACTATTACTCTTTTAAGAAGTATGTTTTTGTAACATACGAAAAGCATAGTTTGTAACAGGAGATCAATGGGCATGTTGTTTGTTGTTGCAGATTACAGCTGAGATTTGTGGAGAGGAAATCATGGATATTTTAGTTGAAAATGTATCTGGTACATGTGACGGGCAACTGGAAATACCTACTACTTCAAGGAGCTTGAATTTTGAAGAGAGACTCGAGCCTGAAAGAACTGATACAAGGGAGTTTTCCACCTCATTAATTGATGGTCATGATTCCAATTATGCTTCACAATCTGCTCATGATGTTGTCGTTTCTGAGGTAAGTATTATTACTCTTTCTTGAAGTATGTTTTTGTATCACAGTAAATCAGTGGGGGGGGTGGTGTTTTGTCATTGTAGACCTCAGTGGAAATTCATGCAGAGCAAACCATAAACATTGATGAGTATGTTCCTCAAAAGAGAATTAGCAAGAAATGTTGTGTTGTTCAGTGTTATAATAATAACACTACACATACTATGTTTTCATTTCCTAGAGTTGTTCGATCAAACAATGGTAAAAGTTGTATTGACGATGTTTGGATGCAAAGGTATGTAATTTTTGTTGAGCGTTTTATGTTTTTTTGTTTTTGTTTTTTGTGACCAGTTATATTATTGATATGTTGTATTGGCAGATGTCAACAATATATGAAGTTTTGTGGGAATGACAAAATATTTTCTAAAGATGTGTCTTTATTACATAAATATTTCTTTATTTGTGATGGTCATTTTAAGAAAAGTGATTACCATTCTATAAGTGGAAGGAAATATTTAAGTAAAATTGCTATTCCTTCTCTGTTACCTCCTCCTGAGTTTTTGCCTGAAAGTACAGTTTTGGCTTTTTGTCAGTCCAATAGTACGGTGGTTGGTAAGTGTCAATTTTGTTGTTTCTTGTTTGAATAGTTGGTAAGCAGTTTTTTTTTGTTTTGTTTTTAAGTTTTAATTTATTTGTTGTTTTAGAGAGTTGTTCAAGTGATGTTCAAGGAGCACTTGGCAGTGAACAACTTGAGTTGAGAGGAGAATCTTCTGATAAATATGCTGATTTGAAGTCACCAAGGAGTCGAAACATAGCCCAGAGATTTGTTAATTTAGTGAAGTCATTTAAAGTTAAATATTGTTCTGTTTGCAAGGAGAAATATGTTTACCATCCTGGTTTGAAACGTGCTCATCGTAGTCCTGAACATTGCAAAAAGTTTTCTTCTGTGAACAACATGGATCCGCTTGAAGTCCCAGATGAGCTGAAAGATTTAACTTATGTTGAAGAGATGTTGATTGCTCGTATTCATCCTGTCTTGAGTGTGTTTAAACTTAAAGGTTTGCAGTATGGTTACCGTGGAAATGTTATCAACTTTAGCCAAGATGTGGATGAATTTGCTAAAGAACTACCTCATTCCATAGATGATCTACGTTCAGTCATAACTGTGAAGTTTGCTAATAGAAGATGTGAAAAAACAACAGATTTTCGTGTGAGAGTAGGTAAAGTACGATCAGCTTTACTTTGGTTGAAAGCAAATAATCCATATTATGAAAACACTGAATTATCAGAAGAAAACCTTGAGCTGTTACCAGAAGATGGCAATGTATATGACAGAGTTTTAAGTATGTCTATCGGTGAGACTTGTGAGTCTGAGGAAGATGAAGTTGAAATAGCAGATTCTGATAAAGAATTTAGTGGTTCTGATAGTGAGTCTGAGATAACTGAAGTAAATTCTTCTGGAGTACCTTTTTCTTGTGTTCAGAACCAAAATGATCAGATCAATTCAGCATTGAAATGGCCTGACATGGGGAAAGATCCAGTCAGTGAGTACATACCAGGACTGTTTGCGTGTTCTTTTCCTACCCTTTTTCCTTATGGGAACTGTGACTTCAGAGATCATCGTGAAAGAAAAGTCCACCTTCACGAATATATTAAACATTTATTATCCTATGGTGATGATCGATTCGCTAAGCATAAAACATTTCGGTTTTTTGCATTTAATATGTGGATGAGACATACAGCTCTGACTCAGGGAAATTTATTTGTGAGCAAAGATGATGCAGTTTCTAAAATGAATGTTGAAGAGCTAAAGGAACGCATTGAGTCAGACAGGACTATTTTGAAAAAAGTTATGTTTATGGGGTCCAATCTAAGAGGATCAAAATCCTATTGGAAAAGTCGATGTGGAGAGTTGCGAGACATGGTCGAACAGCTTGGTCTTCCAACCATATTTCTGACTATGAGTGCAGCTGACCTTTACTGGCCAGATCTTTTTCGGTTGTTAACTGGTAAAGATATAGCTGATATTAGAATGCACGAAAGGAGGAGACTTCTTCAAGAGAATCCATCTTTAGTTGATATGTTTTTCCAGTTTAGAGTTGAGTGTTATATTGAGAATGTAAGTTAATTTTTTTTAAATGATTTTGATCTTAATTAAACACAAAAAGTATGATAAAAAGCTTATGAATTTTACAGGTTTTGGAACCAAAATTTGGTGTAACAGATTATTGGTACCGAATCGAGTATCAGCATAGGTAAGAATAATTTACAATAGTGTTTATTGCATTAATTATTTCGAATTCAAGTTACATTTCAACATTGATTTGATTTTGTTTCAGGGGAAGTCCACATTTACATGGCTTGTTCTGGCTTAAAAATGCTCCTGATATTGCTAAGTACACTGATGCAAATGAAGATGAGAAGAAAAGAATAACTAAATTTTTTGATGATTTAGTGACTGCTGTTGATCCTGAACCAGACTGTGCACTTCCTGAGAAACATTCTTGTGAAGTTTTGTATGAAGATGTGGAAAATGTTGAAACTGATCTAGCTCAATTGTTGAAAAAAGTTCAAAGGCACAGTTGTTCTCGTGCTTATTGCAAACGATTTGACAAGAATTCTCAAAAGACAATTTGCAGATTTCATTTTCCTGTTGATCTTAAGCCATATTCAGAGTTAAAACTGAATACAGATACTAATGAAATTGAATTTTTTCCTGAAAGAAATGATACTCAATTGAATAAGTTTAACCCATTTATAATTTCAACTTGGAGGGCAAATATAGATGTTGCCCCAGTGTTATCTAAAAAGGCTGTGATAAATTATTTGACTAAGTATGTGTCCAAAAGTGAAGTGAGATCAACAACACTGAAAGAAATATGTTCTAGTGTGTGTGCAACTTTAGGTAGCAATGACAAAGCCAAACGAGCTATTCAAAGCATCTTAATTAAAAATTGTGTTGAAAGAGATGTGTCAGCCCAAGAGGTGTGCCATATTCTTAATGGTTGCAAGCTTTTTTCTGCTGGTGGACGCAAGTTTGTAGTAGTATATACAAATGAAAGTAAATGGATTCCTGTTGGAGGAAATGGAACTGAGTCAGATTGTCATAGTTTGGAAGAATCTGGTGATGATTATTGTGATAATCCTGATGATAATGCACCAAGTAATTTCAAAGGAAAATCTTTTATGGAGAAGTATGCATGTCGACCTAAACATATGGAGTCATTGTCTATGTGGAAAGTCGCTAAATATTACAATGTAAACACTTGGGCAAAATGTCAAAAGCATAATATTGTGCGGATTTTTCCCCGCTTGAAGTTAAGCAGTGACGAATCTAAAAATGAAGAATATTATAGACAACAGCTTTTGTTACATGTTAAATGGAATGAAATGAATGATCTGAGAGAGGGCGAAGAAACATGGAAGGATGCATATGTGAGGCATGGACTTGGTCAGAGCCAAGAGGCAGAATTAAGTCTGTATTTGGATCGAAATCTTGATGGAATTGATGACCATGAGGTTGAAGAAGAAAACCATGATTTATTAAATTCAAATCAAGAGGACTGGATGATTGCATCTAAACTTAACCCTAATGGTGGTGTGTTAGAGACTGTTAAACTTGGTCGAAGAGAGGTTGATGTTGCATTTGACTGGAGTTCAACTTCATCAAAGTATGAATCTTATGGTGACCTTACCTATCTTTCTAATTTTATTGAAAATCAAAAGAAAAACAGTACAGAACAGGAGATTGCACATGATCTTCCTGATGTTATATTCACTGAGCAACAGAATGCTGTTAAACAATGTATGGAGAGTCAAGTTCAAGCTCTCCTTAATGGAAGTGAACCAGTAGTAAAAAGAGTTTTGGTCCAAGGTAAAGCTGGTAAGTTAATTTGTTTATATTATATTGTTTGTTGATGTTATTAATTTTTAGCATTGATGAAAATTGCATTCTTAAAATTTTGCATTTACAGGTACAGGCAAGAGTTTGTTGATTAAATTTTTAACTGACAAACTACTAAAGGAATTTGGTGATGGGTCATTCCTCTTGATGGGCCCAACTGGTGTTGCAGCTATTAATATTGGAGGTTCAACAATTCACTCTGCTTTAAACATCAATCCCAAAGTATCATTTTATAAAGAATTGCAAGGTGAAGCAGCTAAAGCTTTTTGTGAAAAATTAAGCAACGTTAAATTTGTTGTAATTGATGAGTATTCAATGATATCATGCTCATTATTTGCGTTGGCAGAGAAGAGGTTACGTGAAGCAACTGGCATTAATGAGCCATTTGGGAATTTGTGTGTTTATTGTTTGGTGATTACAAACAGCTCCCTCCAGTTTTTGGACCTCCTTTATTTGGAGGTGTGTGCAAAACTGAGCTTGATTTGCATGGGAGAAATATGTTTAATTTATTTCAATCTTATTTTGTCTTGGAAAAAGTGCATCGTCAGAAAGATGAAGAATTTTTGAATATCTTGGAAAGAATTAGTAATGGTGAGACGACTGTTGCTGACTATGAAGTGTTAAAGAAGAGATTTACCATGAATGTAACTCGTAGCATTGAAAAAAATTTTGAAAATGCCATTAGATTATTTTCAACTAAGAAATCTGTTAAGGAATATAATACTTCAAAGTTAAACCATCTTTGTGATCAAAATGGCAATATTGTTCCGATTGCGTGTCTTCCTGCTCAACACCATGGCCTTGGAGCCAATCTGGGAAGCGAAGATGATTATTCCGGGCTAGCATCTGAACTTTATCTTGGTGTTGGAACAAGAGTCATGTTGCGAACTAATTTATGGTTGAAAAAATCTTTGGTTAATGGTTCTATGGGAACTGTTATTGATTTGTTATATGAAGATGGCAAGTCTTCTCCAAATGATTTACCATCAGTTGTTATGATAAAATTTGATGAGTATAATGGTCCAGGTATTGGACCAGAAAATTTAGTTCCCATTGGGAGGGTTACAAGATACTGGAATAACAAGAAAAAAGATGAAATTTGTTCAAGAAATCAGTTTCCATTGATGGTTTGTTATGCTTGCACTATTCATAAAAGTCAAGGACTCACTTTAGACCAGGTAATTTGTTAGATCAAGTTTATTCTATTTTGTGGTGTTATGTGATAATATTGAATATTTTTTATTTTTGTTTTGTGACAGGCTGTCATTGATATTGGTCCATCAGAATTTTCTTTGGGTGTAAGTTATGTGGGCATTTCTAGAGTCAAAACTCTTGATGGTATTTTACTTAATCCATTTCCTTTGGAAAGGTTATTAAATATCAAGAATCGAAAGGAAATGAATTATCGTCATGGCTTTGAAATGATTTTGTCCATGCATAAACAATGATAAGTAATGAATGAATGATAAATGTTAACCTTTGTCTGAATAAAAATTGAAACAGTGAAGTCGTGTATTACTTATTTTGTGCCTTTTTGTTCCTTCCTCATATTAGTAAATGAACTAATAATATGTATCTTTACTTTGAACCAGGAGGCCACTGAATTTTGCAATGCAGCATGTATTAATATAAAAAGTAAGATGTTAAAATGAAAAGGAAATTCTTATGGTGCACTCGGTTCAAAGTGTATATTATGTGTGCTGGTTTGTGCTGGTGTCGTTTTATTGTCCAATTTGTAGCTATTTAAGTTTCATTTAATTTATTGTGAATGGTGTATGCTTGCTCCTGCTTTGCTAATAAAAATTCTAAAATTGAAGTCATGTGTTTGGTCTGTGCCTTACATCGCTTGCCTACAATGAAGCATGAATTAATGCTCATGCTACTTACAAGAAAAATGTGAGATGATAAAACGTACCCTTAGTTTTAACTGAAACAAATGTTGAATTCTCCAAACTGAATCTTAAGTGAAGTAAGACGTTCACTTAATGATTGACAAAAGACAAATATCAAATTAAATTAATTCATAGCAATCAAAGCTTAAGATATTTGTTTGTTCAAAGTTTTGAAAGGAAAATAAATTTAGGGTTGAATGGATGTAACAAATTTGCATACAAACTTTATTACATATAACAAAATAAACTTGACAGTCAAAACAATATAATCTTGCTCCGAAGAGCACTGTCATTTACTGAAATAAAGACACAATCAATCAGATGAACATCCAGCTGGCGTGATCATCGTCATCGTTGCCATCTGCATCAGCTTTGTGCTCGCGTAGATTGGAATTATGTTGATAGGATTTAAGTTAACATTCATCAGTATCTGTAACAAAACAAAGACAGGAATTAAATTTGATGATATGCATTCAAATAATTAGCAGTTACAGAAGCAAAAGTGCTAAACATACCCATCATGACGATGAATACGAACATTATAATGTTTCCCATCTTGTCCATAAAATACCACCACAGGAGCTTCCCCAAGTGAAATGGAATCATTTAATTCTTTGACTTGTTTCGGATCTAAATCATTGTAAAGAGATGGCAAAGTTAGGTGAAATTGTTCATTAGACATCGGATCCTGAACGCAAGCGATTAAAGTTGTAAATGGTTTTTTCTCATCACAACAATAAGTGCATTTCTGGGTTAACATTACAATAGGATAACGAACTCCGGGAATCAAATTGGCTGGAGACACAGACATCTATAACAAGCCAAATAAAACACACACATTTACAATCGATATACAATTGTCACCATGTAACTGAAAATATAAAGCTTGCTCCATGCATTGACTCTGAACAATTCACACTCATTGAATAAGTAAGATCAAAGTAAGAATGAATACAACAAACATGTGGCAAAACCAATGTGCATGTGCCTGAACCCCTACAGTTTCAAAACAAGCGAGGACTTACCTTTCACAAAGCCTAGGACACAGAACGGCCACTGAAGATCCACTGAAGATTGAAGCCCTGAAAATGACAATTTGTTTAAACACAGCCTAGTGCCTACTATTACTTGCTTCCCTGAAAATAAAAAGAAACTTTATGTCGCTGTCCCTTGTCGTCGACTTGAACCTAAGCCTCCACGTGCTGACAGGAAAACCGACGTCGCCCGCCCCTTTCTGACAGGTAAACATAACCCTAACGTCACGTGGAGATGAAACTTTATCAACCAACCCCAATCAGAAATAGTAATAACCATCATAAAACGAACATAATTTCAAGATTCTACATAACCACGAGTTTCAATCACCTAAACTTACCAACTATGGCGATACTGTGCACGCCTGGAGAAATTCGAAGCAAATGGAACGAGAACTGACAGAGACACAATTTCTGTGGCTTGGAATTGGCTAAGAGAAAGGCCACCGATCACCCGGCTTCCGGTCAGCGTTTTAAAGTTTTCCGGCAGAGATAAAGCTAATTGTATAACCCGTAAAATTTCTTTTTACATTACGTAAAATTATGCTTTACCCTTTTTAAGTTATATTGTGAAAATATCAATAGTATAACAAAACCAAAATTTAAAACCAGCTATAAATTAGTCAAAAAATTAACTTCATCTCGGACGTACAATTTCAAAACGCTGGCTGCGTGACCATGTCACCATTTTCTAAGCCAATAGCGAGTCTTGCAAATTTTGTCTCTGTCAGTCCTCGTCCCATTTGCTTCGAATTTCTCCAGGCGTGCACAGTATCGTCATAGTTGGTAAGTTTAAGTGATTGAAACTCGTGGTTATGTAGAATCTTGAAGTTATGTTCGTTTTATGATGGTTATTACTATTTCTGATTGGGGTTGGTTGATAAAGTTTCATCTCCACGTGACGTTAGGGTTAGGTTTACCTGTCAGAAGGGGGCGGGCGACGTCGGTTTTCCTGTCAGCACGTGGAGGCTTAGGTTCAAGTCGACGACAAGGGACAGCGACATTTCTTTCTATTTTCAGGGAAGCAAGTAATAGTAGGTACTAGGCTGTGTTTAAACAAATTGTCATTTTCAGGGCTTCAATCTTCAGTGGATCTTCAGTGGCCGTTCTGTGTCCTAAGCTTCGTGAAAGGTAAGTCCTCGCTTGTTTTGAAACTGTAGGGGTTCAGGCACATGCACATTGGTTTTGCCACATGTTTGTTGTATTCATTCTTACTTTGATCTTACTTATTCAATGAGTGTGAATTGTTCAGAGCCAATGCATGGAGCAAGCTTCATATTTTCAGTCACATGCTGACATTTGTGTTTTGATTGTAAATATGTTTGTTTTATTTGGTATGTTACAGATGTCTGTGTTTACACTACTAAAGAACAGGGTTGAGGCCCATGCGGGTAAACGAACCCCTGATGAGCTTATTCCTGGTGTACGTTACCCAGTATATTCATTCACTCAAAGGAAATCGGACTACATTGATAAGAAAACCCAGACGCATCCAATGACCCTGGTTGCTTACGTTATTGATCCTAAGACCTCTGGAAAATACTACATCACGTTACCATCTCTTTACAATGATTTAGATATTGATCAAGTGAAGGAGCTTAATGATGCAATTTTGCCCGGGAAAGCTCCTGTCATAGTATTTTATGGTAAAGATGGAAAACGTAATGATGTTCTTATTCATCGTCATGATGAAGGTATGTTTAGCACTTTTGTTTCTGTAACTGCTAACTATTTGAATGTATGTCATCAAATTTAATCCATGTCTTTGTTTTGTTACAGATACTGATGAATGTAAACTAAAATCCTATCAGGATAATTCTAACTTACGCAAGCGCAAACATGATGCAGATGGCGACGACGATGATCAAACCACAAAGAAGGCTGGACATTCAACTGATTGATTGTGTCTTTATCTCACTAAATGACAGTGCTCTTCGGAGCACGATTATTTTGTTTTGACTGTCAAGTTTATTTTGTTTGAAGCAAGATTATATTGTTTTGACTGTCAAGTTTATTCTGTTATTATTATGTAATTATTATGTAATAAAGTCTGTATGCAAATTTTTGTTACATCCATTCAACCCTAATTTTCTTTTCCTTTCAAAACTTTGAACAAACAAATATCTTTAGCTTTGATTGCTATGAATTTAGCCATTACTAATTTAGAACATTTAGTGTAACTGTATAATTACATACGGCCAATCAGTATTAAATATTAGATGTTACGCCCGTAAGGGCCTTAATGCTCAGCCGAACAGTCTATGACTGCAACTAGTAAATAAAGACTTTTACCCAATTTGTGTCAATTTTATTGAAACTTTTCTCGAGGTAACTCAATTTTGAAACTTGAATCAAGCGTAAGCCTCTCGCTTCAGAGGTTGGTGTTGATGAGGATGAGAACACGGGCCCTTCGAACGGCTACATTCGTATTTTGGCGCCGAAAAATGATAAGTCGCCCCCCAGTCGTTTACCAACAGTTTCGCCGGGGAAGACAATTTTATTGCTGGTTTAATGGATGTAAAAGAACCACCTAGTCAAAAAGACAACAATTTTCTCATGCCTAATTTTGACTTTTCTATAGAAATGAAGCTTAGTTCCATCGATAGAAAGTGACTAGAATCTGTGTAAGTGCGTTTTTTTATCGCAGTCGGTGTAGTGCCTACTCTTTTTCGGTAAACTTCGAATCTAGTTCTTGTGTACGTTAAAATTGGCAGTAATATATCTTTATTGGTTGTGTTTTTCTAGTGTGCTAGTGTTTGGTCGCTACATGAAAGCCAGCGAGACTGTCACCACCTTGTAATTCTAGCTTCCTTTGGCCTGCTGCTAACATCGGCGACCCGTGGCGCTACCTCACGGACATAATGCGAACTACTGATATGGCGGGAGATTTTGAACTTGGAACATATAAACAAGGTTTGGGAAGTGAATTTTGATCCGTATGACCTAAATTTCAATGAAGATGCTTCCCATGATTAAATATTGTGGCCTAAAGTTGATCCGAGGCACATGATTGACTACTTTTTGGTGTTCCCAAGAGCTCGGGGTGGGGTGGTCCGACTAAAGCTTTCTCGACATCTTTTATTTTAGACCTAATGTTTTTTCTTGGATTATTGATTGACTATTTTTGTGTTTTGTGATCACTGATCATGTTAACCTAGTGTTTCATTAGAACTTCAATGTTACTTCTTCTTGAACAATTGAGTGAAAACTTATTTATGCAGCTCCTTTTTTCTTTGACTTTTTGTACGCAAATGAAGTGAAAAATTAATGTTCCTCACCTTTGTTTAAAATTTGTATTAATTAAATCTTAATATATACTAACAAATTGTGCACTTGCTTGCCCTTATTATCACAGTTAAGAGAGAATTATGGCTGTAGTGTCGATTTCTTTATAAACTGTGATAAGGGCGAGCAAGTGAACGATTGGTTAGTGCGCCCGCCGACCAGCGCGTAGGCAAGCCCGCCCGCACGACGGCGAGCGGGTTGCATACCTTCAAACTTCTACGGGGTTTCTGAAACACTTGGGACGTCTTCCTTTCCAACAAAAATACACGGTGTAGCAGGCAGAACACATTACGAGACGTCGCATTAGTCCAGTCACAAGGAGAAGCACGCATCTTGTGTGTACACGTAGTACACATAATTGTCGCTTGGACAACAACGCCCACTTCGAATGCGCCCGTGCCGCGCCGGCAACTCGCGGCGGCCAGCCCAGCAGACTGATTCCGAGAGTCGTTTTCGTCGCTGTGTCTCTCTCGCCCTCAAGGGGCGTGCCGTGCAGGTACGAGAGTGACAGAGCGACGAAACGACACTCAGTCTGCGGACTGATTCCGAGAGTCGTTTTCGTCGCTGTGTCTCTCTCGCGCTCGGGGCTCACCGTGCAGGTACGAGAGAGACAGAGCGACGAAACGACACTCGGAATCAGTCTGGCCGCGGCGTGCGACTCGTGCGTGCTGTGGCCTTCCCTCCCCCGCCCCCCTCCACCTCAGCCTTCCCGTGCAGCCGCCGCGGCCGCGCCGTACCGCGCCACCCCCACCCACCCGTACCGCCCCGCCCCGCCCCGCCCCGCCCCGCCCCGCCCCGCCCCGCCCGGCCGGCCGCAGGAGCAGCGAGCACAACAGTACCGGTTGGGCCTTCGCACGGAGAGGTCCTCGTCGCGCCGCGCCGCGCAGCTCCGCGTTGCCGCGAGTGCAGCTTCGCTCGCGTCGCTCCGACGGCGGAGCCCCGGCGTCGCCTCGCCCCGCCCTCGGGCCGTCCGCCGTCTGTCGTGTGTTGTGTTAACGGTGTAGTGGGTCTGTCCAGTGCTCAGTGAAATGTGTGCAAGTGATTCTGTGAAAGAGGCACGCCAGTGAAGCGAGCTTTGTGCTCTCGTGTCTGTCTGTGGATGCCCGTTGCGGGCGTGGAGTGTCTAGTGCAGTGCAGTGTTCGCCGCTCGTCTGGCATGAGTCGCCGAGCGGTGTAGTGGATAGGCCGCGCCTAGTGGATTATTGCCAGGATACGCTCAGGATACCCCCCAAGGAATACTCTCCGGATTGCCGTCTGTCCTTCCCCCGCCCGTTCGCCGTGATGGGGCGGAGGAGGCTCCAGCAGTGGGCGCTCTTCCTGGCCATGGCCGCGGCCGTCCTCTCCTCGGCGTCTGCAGGTGAGTGAGTGCACTGTGAGTGCACTGTCTCCGCTGTTTCTCGCGCCAGTGGCGGATCCAGAGCCGGCCAGAGCGAGGGGCCGAGTAGCACTTTTTGCCTACCTGTAGGGGCAAAGTGTGGCGACTACCCAGGAGCCTTTGGGGGCTGAACTGTCCTTTAGACCCTCGCCTGTCTCTCACACCCGTGTGGGGGAGAGAGAGAGAGAGAGAGAGAGAAGAGAGAGAGAGAGAGAGAGAGAGAGAGAGAGAGAGATGAAACGCTGTATATAGGGGCTCCTGTGCGGCCCTCAGCCGTTGGAATTTGGAGTCTTAGCTGTTGGAGCCACTGGAGTGTCAATGGATTCGTCCAGCCAGCCGACTGACTCCGCGCTCCGCGCTCAGCGCATTGCTGTCGTCGCTCTGTCTCTCTCGCTGCCATTGCTCTTGTGGGGCGTCGCGGAAGGGTGCGAGTGAGGCAGCGATAGAAGCCGTGCTCCGAATCGGCCGGGTGGGCGACGAAACGCCGCGCGGAATGCGTCGGCAAGGCCATGGCTTGGCTGGCCAGGGCAGCCAGGGCACACTGGGCCACACCCTCACCGTTGGGGGGCGGATCCAGGGACGGGTTCGGGGGCGTAGGGGAGAAAGTGCGAAAGTTGCCTATGCCTACTTACAGGGGCTATGTGCGTTGCCGCCTTGGGCAAAGGAAGAGCGGGGGGGGGGGGGGGGGTATTGCATCTCCTGGATCCGCGAATGTCTGTCCGCAGGCACGCCAAATAGGACTTTGTTGTAGTTATCAACTCCGTACGCTAAACTCGATGCATCGACGCACAATCGACACAGAAAGGTGACGTAGCTGTCGATCCAGTGCGACGCTCTGCATTCAAGGACCGGCCCTCCATGCCGTCCCCCGTGTGTGTTACTAGGCCGATGTCGCAATTTTTTTTTAGGGGAGCTTAATCGGGCCGGAATCTATTGGCATCTGTCTTTGATCTTCTGTGTTGCTTTTTCCGAAAGCGGCGCGCGCGGCACGGCGCACCTGGGGAGCGGAGCACAGCGGAGCACAGCGGAGCACGTAGTGGAGCGCGGGGTGCGCGACTTAGCACGACAGCGCGACCGCCCCTCCCCTCCATCCCCTCCTGGTCCTAATCACAGCCTCGTCCCTCCCCTCCCCTCCCCTCCCCTCCCCTCCCCTCCCCGTCCCGTCCGCCGCGTCCCTTTGGCGTCCCCTCGCTTCCAAATCGGCGCGTATTACGTCACGTCTTGTGTGAATGACTTCCCATTCAATAGACACCATCTTGCTCGCGTGTGCCCATCGCCCTGCTCGCCGCTCGGCGGGGCGCGGCGGGGCGGGGTGGGGCGGGGCGAGGCGGGGCGGGGCGGGGCGGGGCGGGGTGAGGCGGGGCGAGGCGGGGCGGGGCGGGGCGGATCGCTGGAGCAGGATGATGATGTAGACGCCGTCCGTGTTGCGCCTATCACTTCGGCCCCAGCAGGCTGATTCCGCACAGTGCGAAGGGGCCCACCCGCATCACTCTCTCTCTCTCTCTCTCTCTCTCCCACTCATGGGTACTCTCGGTCTGTCTCTCTCGCACTCTCCGCCCGCACTGTGCGGAATCAGTCTGCTCTGCTTCCCCGAGCCGCTCCAGCCGGGCAGCCTCGGCCTCGTCGCTCTGTCTCTCTCGCACTCATGGGGCGCCGCGCATGGGCGCGAGAGAGACAGAGCGACGAAAACGACTCTCGGTATCAGTCTACACTGGTTGGTTGCTGGTTGGCCCGGAGACTTGAACGGCCGTTTGGGGTGCTGCTGGTTGAGCTGGCGTCGCAGTCACCACTTCGCCTACTTGAGCCCAGTGCAGCACAAATGATCGCACTTCGCCGTTTCGTACTCGACAACCATCCAGCGCCCTCGGCTCACCGTGGTTCGAGGGGGAAAGCACTCGCGTAATGGTCGGGTCACTCTGTCCGTAATAGCACGCGTAATAGTGTGCGTAATAGTAGCGTAATAGCTGAAATTCTCAAAATTTGATCTATTTTAGGGTTTTTTGGTCTGTTTTCAGCTAAATCGCTATATTTTGAGGCGTAATAGAGCGTTATAGGCGTAATAGTCGGTTCGCAGGTTTTAGGAGTGATTTCCCCCTCGCCGTGGTTCATCCGCTGCTGGCTGATTCCGCCCACCGTGCTCTCGTCGCTCTGTCTCACTCGCACTCATGCGGCGTCCCGTAGGGGTGCGAGAGAGACAGAGCGACGGAGGACGCCGCCGACCCGATCTGGAGTGCGAGTCGCGAGTCGAGTCAAGTTCGCCTCGAGTTCGCCACTTTGGCAAGTGAGGTCGGAAGGCGCAGCGGCCGCGTTCGAACCGCGAACCTCGCTCGGCATTCGAATTCAGCCGACACGACTCCGCGCGGGGGATCGTTTTGTCGCCGTCTCTCTCGCACTCATGGCGCCTCCGTGGTGGTGCGAGCCTTTCGGTTCGAAATCAAGCGGCTGGCTGCCGACTCGCTTCGCCACCTCGCG